GGCGATAACTTAATAAAGGATATATTACAACTAAAGCAGTATAATAACCATAACTAGCGGCGACAAAGTCGCCGCACTCCAACCTAATCTAGTTAAATAAATAAATTGAATAGACTTTATTTAGCATATTACGTTTTTTTCCTATTTAAAATAGAATCTATCATTAAAAAAAGAGGCTGTTTTAAGGCATCACATGTCATTGCTAAGTTCCATAATAAAAGTATACTTTTTAAATTTCTTATATAAGTAATTTTATTGATATTATCATTAATAAACACTATATCCTCATCGCTATATTACGAAATATCTTAAGATCACATGAAAATGAAAGTAAATTTTGAAATCTTAAAACCACATTATCTTTAACATACTTTTGATAATCATTTATCTTATTTCTAACATCAATTCAGCTGCGTTTTAATTTTCAATGTACTGTAGATATCTTATTATTTTTCAATTAAAATCAAACGCGCTAGTAAAGTTAACATGAAAAGGAACAAAATTAAATGAAATAGAGCAAACCCAAGTAATTATCAACTATACGTTTATCCAAAATTATTAATAATTCTATTGAACTTTCAGTGCCCAAGGGTGTTGCCTAGTAAAAAGTTACATGAAAATAAATAACAAGAACAAATTAAATAGAGCAAACCCCGTCCTTATATTTTACAAGATTACAAATTGATAAATGAGTACTATCAATTATGCCCAAGTCACTCCTTAATTCCTGATTCTGCGTTCAAAAGTGTTGTCCAGTTAAAATTTAATGCGTTAGTAAATTTAAATTAGAAAACTAGTTCAAAGCACACTGGGAGATGCATTACCTTTATGGAATAACCAATGATCCACCAGAAACGAAGGAAATTAGAGAAGATTTCTTTCAAATCATTTTTTCGACGGATTTTTAATAAGATTTTAATATAGTTTTGACTTTTAACGGGATTTTATTATGGTTTCGAGTTTTGACGAGTTTTCCAATAAATATTTATTCTGGTATTGCCAGTGTCCCCGACGAACCTTAGGCGAACAGAATATTATATATTATTGTAGAATATTAGTATATAATTTGTAAATTGAAGATTTTAAGTCGATATTCAAATATTAATTAAACTTTTTAATGCCACGCATCAAACCCGATGAATATTATTTAAATATCTTTGCTACGGTCGTAAATTGCAAAAATTAATGAATAAGAAATTGAAACTATGATGATGGTAAGCAAGTAAAAATATGAATGAAAGATACTATTTCTTTAAAAAATTTTGATGGGTAAATATAATGAATAAGCAAATATATAGGTTGTGTAACATCATTCATTATTCGTGTATCACAAATAATGAAGTTTACACGTGACGATATAAAATAAAAAAAAAAATCAAGAAATTTCTCACTCCTTTTACAACAATTTTATTTTCAAATCCATAAACATTTTATCAGAGCATGGAAAGGAAATCTATTTTCTTTTTTTCTTTTTGTGTAAAACAGATGACACTCATTTTAAATCCTAACAATTCACCTATCAAAAATAAAAATGGTGTCATTTCAACGAGTTCTATGGAAACGAAAAGTTTGATTGATGAATCCACACCAACTCCAAACAAAATGGCTCTCTTCACTGGAGGATTTAATGAAAATAATAAGAAAACCATATGCTCCGAATCATCCATAACTTATGTCAAAATGTTTGATAATTTCTTTCAACCAAAAATTTCCTATGAATCACGAAAAATGTTGATTCCTGAATTTGAACAGGATGCATTACTTTCGGAATATATGCGAGGTTGTGATTATATCAAAAAAGAATATAGCTTACCTGAAGCAAGAAATTTTATGATGACTAAAAAACTAAATTACCTTTTGGATAATATGAATATCAACATAGAATTGTTGTCAAAAAATTTTAATAAAGATTCTCAATATTTAGAAAAATATAGAGCTGTTATTGAGGAAGCAGGGATCGATTACGATTACGCAGTGGAGTTTTTATTAACGAGGAATGACGAAGCAGATGAGGCTGTTGAAAATAATGATATGGTTATGTTTGAACGAATAGAAATCCTAGAGACCGATGCTTCTAATTTTGGCTGCTCAAAGATCAGAACTGAAGATGATTTTGGTGCTTCTTGTGGCCTGCTATTATTCCATTTAAATTTTTGGAAAAGGTTTAAACGTGGATTGAAAAAATTTAAAGAATTTGAAAAGAAGAAGGGAACAAACTATTTGGTAAACTTGCATTAACTTTTTTTATTTTGATTTTATTGTTTATATTTAAATTTTAAATTTTTTTATTTTTTATTAGGGCAATAATATGAATGCCTTCAGATTCAACAAATCTATTATTCCTTCTGGCAAATGTTGAGATGAAAAATCTAAAAATGTTGGATTGCCAACTTAAAGTTCTATTTATATGAAATTGGGGCTTTATAAGCCAACATATCCTTTCATTTTCTTGTCGGAATGTATTAAAATATCTTATTTTCTTTGTTTCTACATTACGTAGAATAAAATGTGCCAGCATCTTTTTTTCTTTACGAAATAATTTGATGTATTATAAATAAAGTACGTGAGATAATAACAAATATATGGCATGTTACCTATGCAAAATGTTTTGATTTATGAACACAATGGTTCTCATAAATTTAACAACTGAAAGACCACCACATGAACGGTTAATATCGGAAGTAACTATTGAGGTTTTTCTTTCCATATTAAAATATGTTAATCTGATCATGGGCGTCCACTAAAGAAGACATAATTATCATCATTTTATGTAAATTGTGACAAAATATTTGTTGTCATATTTGACATTGTCAGCAAATAATTAGATTGAACCGATCACTTAAACTAACTGGAATAATTGGACCTTTCGAAAGTTATGATCATCAAAACATAGCTGTCAACCGGTCATTTCAAAGGGTTAAGATTTCCTTGTAGCAGAAATAAAAATGGAGAAATCGCAACGATTCAGCTCACTCGTTCATCTTGCGTGGGTATAAAGGTATGTTATAACGAAAGGTCAAAAGTTAGAAACTCATAAAAAACGTATTTTAACCATACTCCATCTATTAAAATCATTTTATCACAAGGCGTCAAAGAGATGCTTGAACTGAACTGGTTGTTTATCTTTTGTGAGATTTAAAGAACTACAGGAATGTATTGAGGAAGTTGTATGCTGAAGGTTAGTTGTTTTCAAGAACAAAATTATTGTCAATGATCTTTGTCTTTTAGCAATTTTGAAGATGACAGATCTCGCCTAGAAGAGGATCAAAAGCAATTTCTTCTAATTTTCTCGATGTGGTACTATCTCATAAGATTAACTCGCACCAGTTAAACAAGTCGCATGATCTGGCGTTATGCAAGAAGTTTTCGTTATACGAAAGGGAATCAAAAAGAAAAAGAAGAAAGCCTTAAGAAGCTTGAGATGGGCAATCTAATTTAATGCGATTGTGAAAATTAAGAATTGATTTTGGTTGTGACAATCCATTATGAGTTATATTTCAAAATATCGAATTTTAAGCTTATTTCAAGGATTTACAAGCAAAAATAAAGACTTGAATAAACTATCGAGGAGTTGAAAAGAAAGAGGGAAATAAAGAGGAGATTAAAGAAAAAGAATCTAAATATTACCTCTTTACTTGTGATAATTGTGAACAAAATTTGGGAGCAAATTACATTTAGTATTTTGGAGGCTTGCTATTAAATCACTTTACGGAACGGACCATATGATTTACTATGTTCGTAAACTCGATTTTAAAAACAAACCTCCCATTTATATTATTTATGTTCATATTGAAGAATTCTTCGATTCAACTTTTCTTTACATTACATTCCAGTGAATGATTTGAAATCAAAATCATAAGTGAGAATTTGATGATTCTTTTCAAACCGACAAATATTCTCAATGAATAAAAAGCAGATCGATTCTTGGAGGCATTGTTAAAAGAGATCGAATTAATTAACAGTAGTAACACAAGATATGAATATGACAATTATCTGATAATTTTTGCAAGCTATAATAAGATTTGAATATTAAAAATATCAATCAAGTTAAAAATTGATATCACGTTGATTTATTGTCCGAAGCGACATTTATATATGTTACACGTGATTAGTGTAACCGGGAAAATTACAATCGGAGGGTGTTACAAAAACTTCAATATTAAAAAATGCAAGAGAGATTGTCTGAAGAAAGAAGATTAACTTCAATGATTCCTTAAAACAATTTTATTAATTAGAATTGCTCATAGATATAAAAACTTTATTATTTTTGTCGTGTATAACGATCAAAAAAAAAAAAAATTAAAAATGTACAGTTCGAAAAAATTGGAAAGTGACATTGCCTAATATATATAAATTTATGTTTAAAATATTAGTACATATTTATTATGTACGATTAACAAATGATCATGTCCGCTATGCTGAATGCAAATCTCATCTAGTCTCGTGATATTTAAATACAAACGAATTTATCTGTAAAATCTCTACCCGACAAATATTTTGTCAAATGCCACAAGAATTATTACGTCATTTATAAAAAAGTTTTTCAGTTAAATTGAAATGAAACATTCAAAATTAACCAGAAGAGCAATACATTAAAAACGACAGGTTATACGAATCGAATACAAATTTGCTGATTACTTTTACCGTTGATTATTGCAATTAAAAATACTAAGTATACTTATTATGCTAAATTATAAATGCCCTTTTAATTAAATTTAGGTCAAAAGGTTCCCATGCATTTGAGATATTATCTGAAATACGAATTTTGAATATCCAAGATATACATTTGAAACATTATTTGAAATGTGCGTTTGGAATATTGTCTGAAATGTGTATTTAGAATATCTGAATTGTACATTTAAGACATTATCTAAAACGTGTATTTAGAATATTATCTTTCTGAAATATGCATTTTGGGACAAGCAAATTATAATTTAACTTAAGCTTTATAATTTACACAATGATGCACGTGCAACAATACGAAAAGTGAGATAACAATTGATTCAGGTTTATAACAATATGTTTATTATCAATAAGAAAGAAATAAAGAAAGAAATAAGAAAATAAGAAAATAAAGTAAAAGAAACTAAAAGTACTAAACGTGAGAGTTAGGCCAAATGCCTCTAAAAGAACTACTTAATGTGTATCTAAAATTAAAAACTAAAGTAAAGCTAAAAGTTGAACTGAAGTTTACATGATTTTATCATTCTCTATTTATATTAAATTTAAAACATAACAAATAAGTCACATATATCTAATATATCAAGTATGTCTAATATCAGTTATGTCCGATATATCAAATATGTCTTTGACATTTTGATCTGCAATCTTCTGCGCCACGTTCATCAATCCAATCTGGTTACAGTGCATTTCAGACATCAACGCATTTGGGGTACAACAGTGACATAATCATGGGAATTTTTCTATTATGAATTTGTGCAAAAATCTTTTGACTTGGTTCAGTAGAAGACACTGAATGAATTTAATACATCCTCGCAGATATAGGTTATCAGAGACCTAATATCTACGAGGAAGTGCACAATCTCTTGATCTTCTTTTGATCTTTACCGTCATTGTGCAAAAAAGTCAGTAGTGCTTATTATATAAAATTCCATTAATATCATCATTAAATTCTTGCGAGGAGTCTGAAAGATATTTTGATTTCAAGTGCAAACATCGGTTAAAAGAATATCATAATTTGTTAGTTCATAAGAATCATCGATAACCATATCAATCATCTTTTAAAGAGTGCGAGAACGTAAGGAACACGTGAAAGCAAGAAATATTTTGTTTTTTTGAAAAACTTTGAGTAAACAGATAAATATATTTTTGAAAAAGTTATAGGAACAGGAGAAAGATGTTTTTAAAAAAGCTTGAGGATACAGACGCGTTATATATACAGTAACTTTGACATCACCTCTATCACGTGAAACTGCATTTCACAGTTTTTTTAGTTTGGTGCATAAATGTCACGGGTTATTTGTCACCGACGTGAACTAACCAGTCACACATTCCGTTATTATATCACGGTCGTAAATAACAAGTTAAAAACGTCTTTATACGATGTCACTATTACAATGCCCAATAGTATTGCAGCTTAACCTATGAAAATGCAATGATCACGCACGTCCGGAGGAAGAAAAAAGAAGAATTAGAAATATTTTGTGTATAAAGATGATCGAATTTCGGATATTCAAACCTTACCTGTAAAATATGAATTGCTTGATCTAAAACCGACAGAAAGTCTGTGTCATAATAAGTTATTGCCAATTTGGTCCTTATGAGCCTGCAAAAGTAAAAATGCTTTCGCATGTGGGCTATATTATGAACGAGAGATTGAACAGTTCTTTTTCCAAATCTTGATTTTGGAGATATTCATTGTGTCGAACCGGGAATTCAGAATATTTAATATGATCTTGGAAGAATCAAGATCATTTTATGTGAAAAATAATAATATGATGCGAGCCTGCCAAGGGAAGTCGATTCCATATTAAACTCATCATCTTCTTTAATATAATCAGAAAGACTTTAGCACTTTCATAGATTTTCCAAACAGCTCGGATAGATAATCGTCAATAGTTTTGGATTCAGCGTCTTTTAATTCATAAAAAGTTAAATTTTATGACATAAATAGAGTAAGACAGATATTTCTTCTGTTAACTATATAGTTCCAGCAACTATTCCGGCATTGAAATGATTTCAAGCTGCATATGTGAGCTGGACTCTACCGGGAAAGGTTCATCAAAAATGTTTCATAAAATTTCTTTTTTGAATCCTGTACAAATAAATAGCAACCCGAACGACCTGTTAATTAAGAAGAGATAGTATTAGCATCTAATTAATTACCAGATCTACCCATTATTTGGAGTGCATCAGTAATAGAAAAATCTACATATCCTTAAGACTTGACATCATAGAATTCGTTTCCTTCGATTACAACCAAATGAGCAGGTAAATTCACACCAAAGCCAAGATGCAAGTTGCAACTAAAACTTGAATTTTTGTTGTAGTCTAGTATCATCTGATCACTTTCAGTTAATCCAGCATGTACAGCCTAATGCCAAAAGTAAGATTACTTAGATTGATTTGTAATTATTTGTAATTCTTCTTTAGTCATTCTCGAAAAATGATAAGGATTCTCAGTCAAGCAACAATACACAATCAAATCCTTAGTTGTCAAACGTGTTTGGCGTCGTAATGAAACTAGGACAATCAATAATGTCTTTCTGAAAATCCTTCAATATGAATGTCTAATGGAATAGGACGTACTGAATGACTATAATTGAATATTTCACCCATATCAATACACATTCAGTCTGCTAAATCTTGAGCGTTTGCTAAAACTGTCGATAACCCAACAATACGAACTTTTTTTTCGGTCGGTTAGAGAATTGATGTATTAATTCATGATAAATACTAGAATATGTCCTCTTTCACTACCGAGTAAATAATTTCGTCAAAAATTACACGGCCGTATATGATTTTTACATTTTTCCATGGAGTAATTTGTCACGAAGAGAGTTCATTTAAACTTCGAACATGATATTACAATATAAGCTATTACTTATATAAAAATACATTAAAAAAAGTTTAATAATTTAGCATATATGTTATTATATAAATATAAAAGAACAATTTTTAAATGTATTTCTTTTAAAATACGTTGGAAGTGAGAGATCAGTTATCATTAATTGACACTCTATCAAAATTTTTTGTGCTGAATCGTTTTGCAAAAATATGTAAAGATAAAATAAATGAATAAAAAACCTTTATTATATGCATTGAAGATCAATTTCTATTCAATTTTTTCAATTTTTCCATTTAATTAAACGATATCGTTTTAAATGTATTATTAGTTGATTCATCAATCAAAAATTGCTTATATATCACTATCACTAGATTCATTATATTTAAAATTGGCTAAATAATAAAATAATTTTTTATTATAAAAAAGGTATTAAAAGGTTTTTATTAATGACAATTTGGATTTTGGCATAATAAAAAAATGCAGTTATATTGAGATTAAACGAAAAAGAAAAATGAATAATATTTAAAATAATATTTTATTTTATAATAAACACGGGGCTGAATAATTATATTGTAACTTCACGGTTATCTGAGATTACTACACAGTTCACGGTAACCAATGATATTTTGCCACGAAGTGGCAAAATCCACCAATCAATGCATTTCTATAGCAACTGGCGATTACCCGTGAAGTTACTATCAATAATCACGTGATACAGCTTAGACATAATTTCTATGTTGTCACTACGACTTATACTATTCCACTTTTTCGGTTGTTGTAATAAAAATATCGGGCATTTTCAATAGAACGCAAATCGGGGTTACATCTGTTAATTCTACAAGTTGTTTTTACATTTGACCAGTTCATCTAGCTTGCCGATAATAGCTTATTATGGAGCGATGTAAACGTGGATATTCACGAAATGCCCACCTTAGAGGAGCCAGACAAATGCGTGTAAATGTATGGTGTTGAAAATCGTGTACATTACGGTTTTTCCTGTAGGCGTGCCAATCAATACATTTGTTGAAGAATTATAATGTGGTTCAAATACCTGATCTGTACATGGATTGAAATGAATAAATCTCTTAAAACATATCTCTTCAAGTGATTTATTTTTAAGAGCAGTTACAGGTAATTAAATTCAACAATTTTGTATGTTGTTGATAATTTTTAGGGCAAAACTAGATTGTTTAAGATATGACACGAATATATAATTTAGGAAGTAAATCTTGGATTGGAACTGCGAACCTAATCTTTTGAGTTTCATCAAGTTGCTCCTGTTTAATATACTGAATGATATAATTCAACATATTTTCAGAATCCTTGACTTTACCGTGTTACGATCATTCCAAACGAAATCATGAGTAATACTAGTAGTTATTCGTAGAATATTACGTGTAATAGCGTAACTTGTGCTTCCATTTAAGATTTGGAAACATGCCTACACATTTAGAATATAAGTGCCTATTAATTCTGCCTAACTAATTGTCCAAGTTCAGCCGAGGACATATCTCTCATGTCCTTTAATGAAGGGAATTAGTTGAAGCTTCATAATTTCTCAAGGCAGTTTAAATTGAGTCAAAGGATTCTCAATCGTCCACTTTCGATTGTCAATACATTTACATAATTCTAATAAAATGGATGAAACTTGAGCCCAGTTACGGTTTAAAGCAATTTCGAACTTTTCAGCAGTATCATCGATAGTTTGCTATTTATATAATAATAAATCAAATAAAAGTTAAAAATTTCTTTAGAAAGGTTCAACATCAGGTATTTATACAAACTTAATTTGACAAGGCAAGCATTTTCTTTAAGTTTTCACTTGATTTTAAATCCTCAAATTCGCTGCTTTGACTTATTATTGATAGAATATTGGCTACTTTTATAGATTCTTTCAGTTTTCATTAAATGTTATATAATAATAGGAAGCGATATTTTATACCACTTCATATTTAACTAAGACAATCGTTTTTAAAAATTGAGTTCTAACATTATAGTTCATTCTATTGATCAATACAAAAAAATAATTTCTTTAACAATAAATTAACGATAAAGATTTCATTTGAAAAAAATTTTTGTTAGAACATCTTTATACTCTTGCTCTGAATAAAAGTTTTTTACATAATAACAATAAAATGATACCTTAGTCATTAATTCAATATAATGTTCAATTGTTCTGCAACGTTGCCAAAACCAGGAAATCACGATCATAATTCTCGAAAATATTGCCACATAAATGGCTTTACAAAATTGAAGAGTAGAGTATATGGAAATTGATCATAAAAAAATTTAACGAAACCATGTGGGTTTTACAAATAAGTGACAAATCATTTCACAGGTTATTGTTTACAACCCACCGCATAAAATGCATATCAAGTCTTCCTCCATAAAAAATCATTGCCTAAAATAATGAAACATCCGTGGAAAATAATGAGGAAACTTCTTTTTCTAAAAGTTATGGAATGGATATATTTTATAATAATAGGTAGTGCTTTGAATGCTGAAACGAATTTTATAATAATCATGAATCAATTAACTAATGTAAAAACGTAAATATACTTGTTAAATGTCTCATCTATTCAACAAATGCAAACTGTGGTTAACTTTAAACTTAAAATTGAATTTTTAATATCAAATGACACTTCAAGTCAGCAAATGCAAAACATGGGTAAATTAAAGCCTATAAATAGATTGAGAGTTGTATTGAATGTAATAAAAGAAGGCAACCTTCCGAAGAAATATCATAATATTTGTCGAAAATGTTATAAAACAAATATAACCTTTAATCTAATCGGAAACGAAATTATTGACGGTTTTAATCTTGTTTATCAAGGCAAAATGGAATATGTTCCATATGAAAGATCCAAAGGCATAAGATTTATTGGTGAGGGAGGATTTATAAAGCTACTTGAATTGATGGTCAAATTATGAAATGGAGCAAATCAAATCAGGCATTTCTCTTATGAAATTTAATAATTCTAGAAATTTTCTTCAAAGGAGTTAAATGAGGTACATATTTTTATTTATTATTTATTTATATCAATGTGCTAATTCAATACATTTTCAGCTTCAAATATATTATCAATTAAAACAAGGACGTAAATATTAATCGGTATTATGGAATAACGCAAGTTCCTTTTACAAAAGATTTTGTAAAAATTATAGAATATTGTGATTCTGAAGATCTATATCAATAGCTAATGATTTTTTTTAATGTTAATTGGTCAACTAAGTTAGAACATAAAACCAAATTACAGTAAGCCTTTATGACATTCATAGAAAGAAAATCATCCATCGTGATTTTCATAGTGGAAATATATGATAGAAAATAAAAGGTAAGAATAGGTGATTTAAGATTGAGCAAACCTTCTACTAATGAAATCTATGGAATTATTCCTTATATGGCGCCAGAGATTCTTAAAAGACAAAATATACTATGGCTTCAGTTTTGGTATGATTATGTGGGAGTGTATGACACGTAAAAGGCCTTTTTGGGATCGTGCTCATGATATTGATCTGATTATTGATATTTGATGGGTTACGTCCTTTATTGGTAATATAGACGCACCTAAAGGTCATATGCAGCTAATGAAACAATATTGGGACCCAGATCCAAGTAAAAGGCCAGAGAGTTATAAATACATTCAAAATGATAAACGAACAATTCCAACTGGAATTGTAGAATCATCAGAAATTAGACCTATAAGCACAAACAATCCGCTATCAATAAGAGTAGATCTTTAAGTAGCATGATAAAATCCGCAGAATCCACGAGGAAGTTTACGAAGTCCAATCCGTTTCTTCAGTTTTTGGTAATTAATTTGTTTTAAAAAGATTGAAAAATGAATAAATTATTTAAGATCATTTAATAATTATCTGAAAAGCATTAAATTATTTAGATTTATAAATATATTGTTTAAAACTCATATCAATTATCATTAATTTATACATTTTTTTTTTAAAAGAGAAGGTAAACGAAAGTTTGATGGAGGTGATCAGATTGAAAATAATGATCAAATTATACTAATTCAAAGAAAAGTTTAATAATCAAATACGTTATGATTTACAGATAGACGTAATAAATAACAAAAGAATTTGAATTTGATATTTAATATTGATATCATTATCCCGACACTACATATATTGGACGCCATGTCTATATATTTAAAGATATCAACACGCTTTATATTCAGTTTCTAAATTAACTTGTTATCGTTACAGAGATTACTTTTCTACTGCGTCGCAATTAATAATATAACTTTCTGTTTACTAAATAATTTATAGAACTATCTTATTGAGAGCTTGTAATGAATATAAGCACAAATTTATTGGACCAGTACTCAATAAAATATTCAAGAGGTAGAGTTGAGATCAGAATTTCATATACAACAAAACATTAAAGTTTTCTCCAAAATCGACCATCAACTCTTTACATTGTCATAAATTTCTATAAAAATTTTTTTATAAATAAACCTTTTTATTTTCTCAAGGTAATTATTAAATAAAATAAAAAAAAAATATAAGCTAATAGAAACATCATATCTTAAACAAATGGGTTTCGACAACAGATACGCATCAATTTAATTAGTATTTTATTATAAATAAACTCAAATAACCGTTTAAGATTTTTTTATATTAGCAAGAAATAATATAATAATTTTTATGTTTAATGTAGTATTAATATATAACTTTTTGTCATATAATAGCAATCGGTCACTAATTGAATGTAAACATTTATTATAATTGATGATTCAAAATAATTAAATTAACAAACTTCTTTTGATAAAGAGCAGTGAGAATAGAATTTTTTGTGTTATATTTAATCGTTACTACATTTAAGGTTTTGGAACTTGTTTTATAAGTTATTGTGCTTTGCAACGATTAATATCAAAATTATTGTCCAAATCAGTTAGATTTAGCCACGTTAGTGGCTAAATCTGACCGATTGGACAATCATTTTGACTATTTATCAACGCAAGCACAATAACGATATTATCGTGTGATTTTATGATGTTGACTTTAAAATGATGAAGAGTAAGTTCATCATTCTCATGGCGATAGGATGCGATCCTACTAGATATCTAGCATAAAATTTGAAATCGAGTTGTCGTATATTAGATTCTTTTAAAAAAATGGAAG